GTCGAAGCCGTTGGAATTAATGCCGGGCTGGATATCCGATGCCACGTCGGGAAGCGGGGGGTCGTTCAGCGGGCGACGGCGCGAGAAGAGCAGCCCCTGCGGGTCACGACAAGAGATCGCGCGCGCCGCGGAGGCGAGCAGAGGTGGCTGGCCATGCACGGTGAAGGACAGCATGCAGCCGTTAAGGCGCCGCGACAAGGGGCGCGCAAGTTTGCCAGGGCGGCGCCCGCCGGCGAATGGCGCGCCCGCCGCGCTCGGGGGCCGCGCGGGTCGGTCGAGCGGGGGCGCGCAGCAACCGCTCATGGACGGGCTTCGCGCGAGGTCGAAGTCGCGGGGGCTGCGGGCGAGGGGCGGCGCTGCGCTCGCCAGGAGTCATGGTGCTAGGCTTTCGCGCGAAGGACTGGCACATCCCGGGCTGGGGGCCAGGGATGCGCCCACTCTTCCAGTCGAAAGGACGCCAGTGGCACTTGGTTGGGCGGGTATCGGACGCATCTGGCGCTGAGTATCAAGCGCGAGCAGTCTATGATGGCGCCGTCGTTAGCAGCGACAGCGCGCGCCGGGCAAGGGCGAGCAGCGGGCGCAGTCAAAGCGGACCTTGAACGAGGGCGCGGCGTCGGTTGGGCGTTCGGTAGCGCGGCCATCGCGCGCGTGCGCAGGCGCGATAATTCATTGGTAGCACGTCCTTTTCGAGGCGACCTCATGCGGCGCATGCGAGATGGCCGGCGCAAAGAAGCCGTTGCGCGTTCTCGGGGGGGGGGGGGCTTGGCTTGGGGAGAATAGGAGGGGGCGGGGCTGACTCCGCGCGACATGCGCGAGCGGTGCTGGCGCAGCCTTCTTGTTGAGGCGTTCGCGAAATTCGGGTTCCCCAGGAAGGAGGGGCCCGCGCCTCGTTGAGAATGCGCGGTGGAGGCGATGCGCGCGGACAAGAAATTGCGCATCACGAGCAAGGCACATGCAACGCAATTGGTGGGTGACGGGCTGGTGCGGCGCGGCGGCGGGCAAGGGGGCGCAGGGGCCGGCGGCGTGGAGGGGCCGCAAATGCATCGGGCCATGCGTTGCGCGAAGTACAGCCGTGTCAGAGCGCGGCAGCAGTCGCGATGCGGCAGCGCGAAGTGCCAGGAGAGCGCGGAGGCAGCGCGATGTTCGAGCGGGAAGTGCCCGTCGGCATTCGACGAGCTGGCGGCGGCGTCGGATTCGCGGGGGCGGAGGGGGCAACGCAGCGGGGGGCAGGCTGCGTCGGAAGTACGCAGTGGGGCGACCAAAGTCGCCGTTCGAGTCGAAAAACCGCGAGCGGAAATCGGAGACGGAAGCGAGGCCGCTGACGCGCTCTGCGCCAGGTCCCGGCGAGGCCTCTGGGGCGCGAAGCGTTTGAAGCCCGAGCAGGCGGAGGGCCACCATGGGAAGAAAAGCGCCAGAGTGGTCTGCGGGGAGTGTGACAAGCGGGGCGTAGCTGCGTCGGGGGTAGCTGATGCGGCGAAGCGGTCGGAGTGCGAGCTACCGTGCGCGGCATGTTGGGGAGTGTTTTCGAACGCGAAACATTCGAAGAAGGACCGGGTTGAACAGCATCGCAAGACGACGCAGGTGCGCGTGGATTGTGGAGGTTGCAAGGATCTCGGGTTCACAGCGCGCAGGTGGCAGGCAAGAGTCCGCTGCCGAAGTCGACGTTGTCCGCGTCCAGAAGCCATGCCGCGCGCGAGGAAGAAACATTCTGAAGTGCGGCGTGCAAGTGATGCCCATCCGTGCCGCAAGGTGTGAGACAGGGCTGAACCTCAACGGTGTTGTTCGTGTTCGTTTTGCTTTCGTATTCCCTCGTTTTGTCTTCAATACGCCTTTCACGCAAAACGGATTCGAAACGAAAACGGCCCACGAAATCGCCAAAAAACCGTTTAGGTCCACCCCTGGTGTGAAACCGAATCAGCAATGGTGGTGAACGCGCCGAGCTCCGTGGAAGTCGGATCAGGAGGGGCGAGAGAGAACGGGAGGACGAGGCCGATGAAAAGGAGACGGCGGAGGGGGGGCAGCGGATAAGGAGGAGGAGGAGGAGGAGGAGGAGGAGGAGGAGGAGGAGGAGGGGGAGGAGGGGGCACAGGAGGAAGAGGTGCAGGGGGAGAGAGAGGATTAGGCATAGGGCGCGGAGAAGGAAGAAGAAGGGAATGAAAAACGTTAGGGTCTGGCTCATGGGGCCTCTTCGTACCGATGAATGCTTCTTGGAGTAGTCGTAGTTCCCGCGGGCAACGTTGTCAGCGTTCGCCGTGCATGCATTGGACAGCTCCGCGGGCTCTCTGACCATGACATCTGTCATGGCCTTCGGTCCATCCCAGGGTGGTCTTGGGTCATTGTATCATGCATGTTTCGTGGAATCTCTTCGGAACGCTTCTGAGGGAAGAAGGGGGGCCAGTGTCAGAGACCTGAAGGGTGTTTCTTGAGGTACACCCTAGGCGATGCTTAAGAAAACTTGAGTTTTCGGTCAGAGTCTCGATTATTCTTAATATTTCAATGTAAATTCTAAGATGTTGATAGAAATTTTGGGTTTTTATTCGAGTTCTGAGACCATGAATTTCTTAACCCATGATTTCTTAACCATTTCGCGTGGTGTAGGTATATTTTCCGCGGCCGCCATCGTCAGCATGTTCTGTGCACGCATGGGTGAACGGGTGGAAAGCCGCGTGCCCTGTCGGCCGGCATGCGTGAAACCACCAAGGGAATGATTACCGAATGGCCTGCGGCCCATTTCGCCACTGTGCCTGGGTAGTGGGTCGGAAGCCGGTCGGATGGCTGATGGGGTTTCGTGGTGTGGGCCTTTCGGGGGCGTCTTAAGGGTAGTTTTGGATCTCTTGACGGCCTCCTGGCGGGGTCTTGTGGGCGTTTCGGGGTTCTCTTGGGGTTCCCTGGGCACCTCTGGAGTCCTCCCGAGGGTTTCATGGGGCAACCTTGGGGCGTCTCGGGGGATGGATCGAAATGTCCGTTCGGGTTCCCCTTCTGGGCCCTCTCTTGGGGGCCGTCTTTGGGCTCTTTTGGGCCGCCTTGGTTTCTTATTTGGCCGTCCTGGGGCTTTTTTGGACCGTCGTAGAGCCCTCTTGGGAGCTGCTTGGGTCATTCTGGGTGTCGTGAAGGTCAAAAAGGCGAATATGCTAGAACCCACGTTTCCCCCAGGGAATCGGATGATTGTTTGTTTTGGGGGTCTTTGGGGGGGGGCATGTTGGAGGTTGCTTGGGGGCACATTGGGCTGTCTGGAGGCCATCTTTGGCGTCTTCGAGCTTCGTGAACCGTCTTGGAGGCCTCTTGGGGCCCTCTTAGCCCGTTGTGGGCCCTTTGTGCCTCCAGGGCGCGTTCGGGCCGGGGTCACCCAGGGCCATGGGGCGGTGTCAAATTGCCGGTTGAGGGTCCTTGGGGGGAGATAATGGGGAGAGCAGAATTTCACACGCGTAGAGACCCACGAGGGGTCGGTGGATTTCAGAATTGGAGGCGCAAACTTTTCAGTGCATCGACTGCGCTTTCCCCTCGGACTCACCCTGGAGCCCCTGATCAATCTTGCCTCCCCCCTCACGCCTTCCAGCCATGCCTTATTTCCCCTCCTCTTCCTATCCCTCATCCCCCTCCCCCTCCCCCTCCTGGATGTTGATCCGTGGCTGGTTGCGTCTCCCTCGCTGTGATCACCCTCATGTTCGCGCGCTGCGGGAGTCGCCTCGGGGTGAGGTGTGGCTCCTCAGCTCTGCAGCTGGTTTAGCACAGAGCTCCCACTCCTCCCCCCCTCCTCCTTCTACTCCTCCGCCTCCTCCTCCTTTCAATTCTTGGCGAACACAATGATTCCGATCAACCCCAAGGTCAAGGAACTCCACTCCATAGTAGGTGCAATATTGGGAGCCTCGAGGGCGTTGTTAGGTCCCCAGCAACAAGGCTGCCACGAGATTAGATGCCCCAACTGTAGTTTATCGTAATGTGTTGGTTGAGTAGAGTCCGCAGGCACCTCGACGAGCCCCCTGAAGGGCACAGTGCGGAAGAGTCCGTCAGGCGAGGGACGTGCCAAGGACCCAGTAAAGCAGAATTCGTGCTGCAGCGTGTCTCAGCTGGTGGAGCCATCTCCTGCGTCACCAGGGCGACCGGCCCGCAGTTGTGACGACGATCCCAGGTTTGGGCCGGGTGTCCCAAAAGCGGCCTGTGTGGGACTCCCCGAGCTGTCCTTCTTCGGATACCTACACTTGGTCGGCCCAGGGCCGCGTCATTTGGTGAAACCAAACATCAAGGGAAGAAAAGCCACCCGAACCCCATAATCGGCGTTTGCTAAACGGCCCTGGGCGTTTACTAAACAGCCTTGCCCTGTTCGATTCCTTCCGTGGGTGCGTTTACGAAACGGCTTCGCGCGTCGGGGTGATTCTCATGAGGGCGGAGTTTCTGCTTCTCTAAAACAGGCTGGATTCAGAAATATTAGCCCAGAAGGCTCGCGAGACCCAAACGCGTCTCTGGGAGCCTGTAGGTCTGCTCTCTCGAGAGAGAGGTGCGTGCCAGAGTGCGCAAACCTTCCTGCCATACCATAGCCTATGGTGCTGCTCCGGCTTGCCCGCGATGCCAGGAGCGAGTCGTATCGCATCGTGCAGTGGAGACCCATGCCAAGAATTAAGTCGGGCCTGTCCCTCTACAGGAGGGATATTCCAACATAGTAAAATGGGGACGATGGTTTTACTTTCGTGGAGCATGTTTGACATATGTTCTTAATATTTTGCATGTTTCGCCCCAAATCCCCCTGTAGGGGGACACGCCCGACTTAAGCCGAGGAACACCCTGCTCGCCTCCAGGGTGCCCTGGGTTTCTTGGGTCGCGATGGTTCTGCTACACACCGAAGTCGTGGCGCTCCCACACCAATAAATCAACGGACGTCCTGGGGTCTCCAGACGGGGTTTCCTGTGGAAGGTCTCTTGTGGAAGGGCCCCTACTGTACCAAGAGCGAGTCGCATCGCATCGTATCGTCCTCCTCCCTCCTCCAAATCCTGGGCCCCTGCCAGAATTGTGAGCGCCGCCCCAGGACTCAGACGATGCTTGAGCCGGGCCTGCAGTGCACGAGCATGGAATGCGAATAGCTATTAGGCGATGCGCAGCAGCATCAATGAATGCCACTAGCGCTGGGCGAGCACTGGGCAGGGACGGTACGTGCTTGGTTGCGATGCCTCGCAGATGCATCGCGCATCATTCTCCCTGGCTTCCCCCAGCTTTCTCCCTGGACCGACCGTGCCTTTGGATGGAGGTCTGCTCCCTCACCCTTCCCCCTCTCATCAACATTGCCCGCCTGCTGCCTCCCTCCCCCTCCTCCTTTCGCAGACCCCTCCTCTTCCTACATTCTGTTTTTTTCCTCCCTCTCTCTCTCTCTCTATCCTTTCTCGCCCTCCGTCTCGAGCCCCATCACTCTTCCACTCCCACATTCGTCCTTCCTCTGCTCTCCCCTGACCCCTCCTGCCCTCCACGAGTTGTCCCCCTCACTACCCCTTCCCCCGCCAATATATATACTCATGTCTTCACCCTGGTCGTGTTGACTTGAGGGCACGTAACCGTGCAGTTTCAAAGGATCCCCATTCACTCTATTCTTCCTCCCTTGCTCCCTTCCTGCATTGCTTCGGTGCCGTCCCCTCTTCTCCTCCGACTGCCCGTCCTGCTGCCCCCTCCCTCCCGCCCGCGCCCATCCCCCACTCCCCCCCCCTTCCCGCCATTCTTTTTTCAATTCCACACCATGAACACTACTTTCATCTCTCCCCTGACTCCGTCCGGAAGATAGCCGGCTTTCCCCGCGTACAGTTGTTTCACACATGATTTCAACAGTTGTTTTTCCCCATTACCGGCACCACGCACGTTATGGCAGCAAATCGTTGCACTCCACTTTGCAAACAATCGCTTGGCAGCTGGAACGTCGAAAGCTTAGGCCAACCGATGGTTTAGCTGCCACAGCTGGAGGATTACATGGGCTAGCACAACATCGCTGTACTATGCATGCAAGAGGCTGGAATCACGACGCACACAGACGTTCGACAACGACTCTCTGCTAATCTTGTCTGGCACGACACAAGCGCAAGGGGATGGGCAATTTTACTCTGGAGTCGGCTTCTTGTTTGTACCATGTGTCATCAAGTCGGTTATCATCTACAAGCTCATTTTGGACAGGCATGCCGTTTGAAACTTCAGATTCAGGGTGGCGTGCTAAGCATCATATCTGCTTACGCTCCTCATGGGGATTACGAGCGAGTATGAATAACGGCGCAACTTCTTCGACCAGTTTGCAAAAATACAATTGGCACCGAAGAACCATGTTTGCAGCATGGTTCTCAGTGCCCTCAATGTTCGACTTTATGATCGGGAGCCTGGTGACGAGGACACCATGGGCGACCATGTTTTTCGAATCGCGTGGCCACAACGCACAACATGTGTGAATGGGGGCCTTCTTTTTGAAACTTGCAGAGCAATTGGAAGCTCCATCCCCAACACATGTTTCGAGAAAACCCTGGAAGAGCTGGTGACATACTATGGGGCAGAAGTCGATCAAGCAAATCCTGTGGGAGTTGGCTTTGCTCAAACCAATCACTGTGGTACGGGCCACAACACAATCAGTAACATAGCAGATATATGTTGGCAGTCCGGGCAAGCTCATGGGCTTCGCGTTTTTTGTTTACTACGCATGTTGATCGATTTGGAAGCCAACAGAGCACCCAACACTCGATCAAGGAAATACGATTGCGGAAATATGTTGGCCCATGACAAGAAATCTGGTTTAAGCGTATGGTTGCGGGTTGTGCGAAGCCTTCGCCGCTCCCACGGAGGTGCTGTTTTTGGACGTGCATGCGGAATTCATCAAACACGCAATGGAAAACGCAGCTGAAATACTTCAGCCAGCTGGGCGGAAACCGCTGTGACAATGGATCTCCGCAGCTACGTTGGGTCGAATCAACGAGATCACGCCCAGAGGCAAAGCAATCTGGTGGAACAGAAGAACATGAACAAGTGCATCAAAACGTCGGCGCAGAAAGATAAGCGGGATTGATTCGATACTCAAGTGGCCGGACGCCACTGGACAGCAGTGCGACATCGCACAATAAGTACCGAAGCGACAATGCACATTCAAAACGAACGTGGGCAACTAGTGGAGAGCACCGAGCGGGCCGACACTCTGGCGGACTAGTTTGAAAAAGGCGCAGTGGAAAGTTACTCACGCTACGTTTGTACCCAGTGGGCACAACACGATGGGGGACACCTTGCCAGCTTGCACTGGCACCGTCATCATGCATGAGCTTCGTGATGCATTGCGGGCTTTTCCCACAAGGAAGGCTGGAGGCGTAGACTATGTATCGCCAGGGCTGTGGAAGGCGTTGGCACGCTCTCCACTAGCAAGTGGAGAATGACGGATGTTTGGTTCAGAGGTGTTGGGAGGAAATTGATGGCCCTGACGAGCGGCAGACATCTATCATTGCACTCATGTAAAAAAAGGGCGCCAAAGAACTACAGGACAATTTCTTGAATAACCATTGGGTGCAAACCTTTGGCTTGGATGCTGCAAAAACGCATTCAAAATGGAAGCGCCGAGAATACGACCAAGCCAATTCGGCTCCGTCCTGGTAGAGGCACTGTCTTGGCCATTAGCATCGCTCGGCGGAGGTTCGAAGCACCGAAAACACTTCAGGCGCCATGCCAGATTCCAGTACTGTTGGATTGGTGCAAAACCTGAAGACATGACGCACCTTTGCGCGTTCTTCGCATGTTTGGTTTTCTGGCGAACTTCCTGGACATGGTGGCAGCGATTTACACGTGCAAAAACTTCGCATTCAAAGATCCAGCAGGGAATTCAAGCCAACGGAAACAAGCAGCAGGAGTCGCCCAAGGCTGCCCGTTTTCGCCATACCTGTTCATTCTTGAGCAGAACGTGATGTTTCCGACATCGGCAAGCTCATGGACGGCTTCGCCCCGTGCCAGGGTACCTGGTACGCCGTGACATTCTTCGCGCGGGCGGCACAATGTTCCTCAGCAGCAACACTGGGAAGCGGCAGACATAACTCGACACCGTGATCGACGAAGGAAAGAAATACAGTCTGGAACTCAGTTGGGACAACATTGCTTGCATGAGCGTGCACAGTGACGGCGTGGTTCTCTCCCCCACAGGTGCCCCAGTCAAAGCGGCGGGACAAGCAAGCAGTGTATCTCGGAGGTTTGTTAAACGTAAAATGTATAACAGTGCAGCGACCAGGGGACGAGGTGAAACCAAGCACGCCACCATCAGCTGCGCCAGCAACACCGAAATTTACATTTCTTTCGTTTTGCCGAATATGCTAGAAAGTGTGGAAACATTGGCTGCTGTAGGCAGCCGAAAATCGTAACGACAGATTTCACGCGCAATGTTCAAGATGAGTTCTAAGAGTTTCTAGCGCATATGTTTCACGAGTGTCTAATACAGATTTTCTGGAGGGCGGGAGAGCGCCCCCGGGCTCCACAATTTCGCGGGCGCCGACCTGCGCTGCGCAGGACATCGCAGAGCTGCCCGGAGACTACACCTTCATATTTTTAATTGGAAGGTGAGCGGCCGAAGACACAGGGGGGAGCCTGAACAGCAATGGGCCCTTTGCGGTCATGCGCCTCTACCTGACATTTAAGTGTGGTTTTCTCTTCCCTTCAGCAGTTCGAATTATGCGAATTATGATGTAAGGTCGGCTTCTCGAGCGGGTCCTTGTAAAGAACCCGTAAGGATCCTAGAATTTCGTTTCCGAGGTAGGCTTCTCGGGCGCTTCTCAGGAAGAGTCCTGGGGCACCGTGCCCCCGACACTTCGCCGGCTCGCCTGCTTAAAATAATGGGCGTATGTTTGGAAGTGTTTTGGGACGCCCTGTTCTGGACACTTCGCTGGTTTGCCCAGCATGGTTCTGTGAACGTGTAATTGCTTCACTCTTCTCTGCCAGTGTGCCGTGCAAGCGCCGGGCTTGACTGACTGATCGATTCTTCCCCTGACAGCTTGCGGGAAGGGGTGCTGTTGTGATCGTAACCATTTCCGGTCGAGGAACGCCTGCCCAGAGACATCCTCAACAAAAGCTAGGTGGTCTGGGCCGTTTTTCTTGAGACATCTTCAGAACGCTCGATTCTGAGTTGTCTGGGATTTGGGCGTCTCGCTTGCGACATCCTTCCAGTTCTGGGCTAGGGGATGCCCCTCCCGAGGTGGTCAGGCGCGTGTCGCATGAGCCATCCTCGAAACTCGGAGCTCATAGATGCCGCTCGCGAGGTGGTGCGCCCATTCCTCCCGAGACGCCCTTGCACTTCTGAGTTCTGGGAGTCTGCGCGGGAGGTGGCTCGGCACGTCTCGCTGGAGTCATCCTCGCAGTTCTGCGCTCCGAGGCGCTGTTCGCGAGGTGGTCGGGCGTGTTTCGCATGAAACATCCTTGCGTCTCTCGGCTCCAAAATTCACCGCCCACCAAACCACCCCAACCCAACCCGAAGGGCCCGATTTGCCTTCCATTTCCAGTGGGGGGGTGGGGGGCGTCGGGTAACATCGAACAAAAAACGCGTGTGGAACCCGTACCTCTTCCCACCCGAAATTCGGGTCTTCGGGTCTTCGGGTTGGGGTGGGGTGGTTTGGTAGGTCGTCAAAAATGCAGCGCGCGAAATGGTTCAGCGCAGTTTGCTTGACACGTCCTTGCGCTCTGAGCTCGTCTCGCGCGAGACAACCTCGCACCTTCAGGTTCCTGGAAGATGTACGCGAGGTGGTACATTTCGTTTCGCCTGAAGCATCCTCGGCAATGGGCTCTCAGAACACGGGCGCGAGGCGGTGTGGCCCGTTTCGCTTGAGACACCCTAGCGATTCTGAGCTCCGAGATGCCGCTCGCGAGGTGGTCCGGCCCGCTTCGCCTGAGAATTCTTCGCAACTCAGAAATCCAGGAGGCTGCTCGCAAGGTGGTCCAGCGCGCTCTGCCTGAGGCAGTCTCGCAAGTCTGAGCTCCGAGGTGCCGCGTGAAAGGTTGTCGAGTCCGCTTCGCCTCAGACATCCCTGCAACTCTGGGGTTCGAGATGCTGCGCGCGAGGTGGTCCAGCGCGTTTTGCGTGAGACATCCTCGCAAGGTTGAGTTCCGAGATGCTGTGCGCGAGGTGGTCCAGCGCGGTTCGCTTGAGACATCCTCGCAACTCTGAGCTCCGAGATGTTGTT